GTCTCCCGGGTGCTGGGATTAAAGGCCAGCATACCTGGTCCACTGTATTTTTTTTTTCTAAGATCTATGTGTATGAAAAAAAAAAAAAAAGATTGATGTGCATGAATGTTTTGCCTGCATGTATGTATATGTACCACAGGCATGCCTAGTGTCTGTGAAGTTCAGAAGAGTGCATCAGATCCCCTGGAGTTACAGATGATTGTGAGCTACCATGTGGGTTCTGGGAACTGAACCCTGGTCCTCTGCAAGAACAACAAATACTCTTTACCACTGAGCTATTTCTCTAGCCTTACATCTTAATTTTTGAGACAGGGTCTTTCACTGAACCTGGAACTCACCATTTTGTCTAGACTGGTTGACAGACAAACCCCAGCGATCCTCTTGGCTCTGCCTCCCAGGCACTGGGATTACAAGTATGCACCTCTGTGCCTGGCTCTGTAAGTGGGTTCTTCGGATCAGAACTTAGGTCCTCATATTGTAAGACAGGAACTTCTCCATAAGAACCATCTTCTCTGCCCCTTAATGTTTTTTCATTAAAAGGAAAAAAAGATAATCAGCTTGTGATTCTCTAAAAAAATATTTAGTTGCAAATCAGAGTGTATAATATACTGCCAATTATGCATAAAACAATGGAGAAACAAATTCACACACACACACACACACACACACACACACACACACATATATATATATGCATATTGTATTAGGTTGTAAATAAAACAGTCTTTTTGTTTTTTTTCTGGGAGAGAGTTTCACCATGTAGCCCTGGCTTGTCTGAAACTCACTAGTAGATCAAACTGGCCTGGAACTGATGAGATTCACCTCCCTCTGCCTCCTGGGTGCTAGGACTAACCTAATCATTAAAGGCATGAACTACCACACCCAACTACTTAAGACATTTTCAGAGGTTTATTTTTGTGTATCTGTCTGTATGAGTTATCTACACATGTGAATACAGATGCCTGTGGAGGCCAGAAGAGGGTATAGGATCCTCAGGAGCTGCAGTTACATGTAGTTAAAAGGCTGCTTGATGCGGGTGCTGGGAACTGAACTCTGGTCCTCTGAAAAGCTGCAAGCACTTCTAACTGCTGAGCTATTATTCTAATCCCTGTAAAATCTTTTTTTTTTTAATGCAGTATTTCAGTGGATCAGTAAGTCATGTTTATTTACTTATCAGTCAACAGACACTTGGCTTATTCCCAAGTTTTTGGCTACAATATATAGTGCTGAGATCAGTGAGACAAGTATTTGTGTAGCCAAATGTTTTCACATGAACTTATCCTGGGCTGGAGCTAGTACACCTGAGGGTTAGCGCACTGGCTCATCGTGTAAGACCCTCATGTATGTATTTATTGGGTACCACATTCTATTTCTTTTATTTTTTTAAGATGGGGCTTTACTTTGTGACCTGGAATTTATTATGAAGCCCAGGCAGGTCTCAAACTCTTGATAACCTGCCTGTCTCAGCCTCCTAAGTGATAGGACTATATATTTCATATATGTAAACATGGCTATCTCCTCTGAACAGTTAATATTTTCAGAACCTGTTTTCCAAAGGGGCTGTACCCATTACATTCCCACAGGCAACACAGGATTTCTACTTCTGCATCGTCTTCATTATAGCCATCTGATTGTAGTGGGCATCATACTGTATCTCACTGAAGCTTTATTTGCAAATCTCTACTAAATACTTATGTTGAGCAAGATTTTTCAAGACTATTTGAAATAGTATGCCATGTGAAAGGAGCTAAATTACAGAAGCCCATACATTGAATGAA